TTGCACGTGTGTTCACATGTGTGATAGGTTAAATGTAGAGACTTAAAGGAGACCTGTTATGCAAAATTCACTTTTTAAAAGTTTTTTACTCAACTTTGGGTGTGTACTTCTTAAGAAAACAGTCCTAGGACCAAAAAAATGCACCCAAGGGCATATTTACCGTAAGTAAATGTATTTTAATGTATATTAATGACAAGTTTTATACATTTTGTGATGTCACAAGCTGTACGACAACCCACCAGAACCTGCGTTCAGCCTCTTACCTAGCAAACCCCAGGTGATGCTGCTCCTCCGTATAAAAAAGCCATCACGGTGTTGTTGTGTAATGTGCAGCTCATTTTATAACAAGCCTCCTATAGCACAGTGGTTAGAGTGTAGGCCAGAGAGTCAGAGACTAGGGATTGAGACCGACTTGGACACAAAGAATTTGATTTTTTATTTTCGTTTGTTATGAACATGTTTTCTCATGTAGGCTACTTCTATTGTTTAGCTTATTAAAGCCTTGTTAAAGCCTATTTGCCAAAGTTGAGTAAAAACACCTTTAAAAAGTGAATTTTGCATAATAGGTCTCTTTTAGCCTAGGTAGCCGGTTCAACTCCAGGATGGTCTCCATGTTGCACATGTGCTCACATGTGTGATAGGTTAAATGCAGAGACTTAAAAGAGACCTATTATGCTATTATGCTTTTAAGCCAATTGTCTTTAAAAAAGAACACTTATCCTTAAACATTACATTCAATGCTGATAAAAATGACTATAATTAGCCTAAGTGACAAAGAAGTGTTCAGTTTTATTATATTAACTTACTTTCACATTCAGATTATGTATTTGTCATTGCAGAAGAACAAAACATTTCTAGACCAGCTAATAATATATAAATGACCCGAGTGCCTAAAATCTTCCAGATTAAATCAAACTCCAGAGGGCCGAGGTTCTGAGCCTCCCAGCTTCAGGGAAGAAGCTGCTCCTCAGCTTTGTTGCTCTTGCTTTGGGGCTGAGGGAAGAAGGGCAAATAGTAAAGACATGGCTCTGTAACATTTTAAATACTTAGTATTTTTATATGACAGCTTTATATGGTTGTTTATATGGTTCTCTTGAGTACACAGAGAGATCTGACTAATAAAAGTCACACTGACTGGTGCATCTGTAGATAGGCTTTTCTCTTGTTTACTGTCCTCTTGGTGAAATGTATCTTTTCAGACACCATGATATAATATTGCCCTGGGAATCATTCTCAGTTTCAGCCCTTTGTGCATGGTGTCAACGACAGTGACGTTATGTGACTTTACTACATCTCTAAATTGAAGCCACTTTATAACAGTGGGAAATAGACAGGATATTGGTTTCTCTGCAAAAGAACTAGCTTACTATTTTTTCACCATTTTAATCTTTTTTTTTTAATCTGGAAATATTTATAAACACCTGAATAATCTAAGCCTATAATATACGTTCCCCTATAAATATTTTGTTTCCCATAAATTGGACTATTAGCCACTTCTGCTAAATTCTGTAACTTTGCGAGCATAGTTGCAGAATGAGTCATGAGAAAAACAAAATGAAGTAAAACTTGTAGACTCATTGATAATTTTGTTTTCAGAATGTGCCACTTAGCCTATCATGCAAGCAAACATATTTTTGTATTACATATATTGATTTATCGCAAGTTTAATACCTTTGTTTCTTCTCAGGATTAAATTAGTTTTACTTTTTCATAAACAGATGTGTAGCTGTTACTTTTTACTCAGATGTTTTTCAGCTTTTGTTCTTTGTACATCCATGTGATGTTTTCAGCCTTCATTGTCTGATCTGTTCATAAATTGTTTTATGCTTGCTATTATTAAATTAACCTTATTTTACCCTTAGCTTATGAAATGGCTTTGTAAACACTGAGCGGCACTGCAACAATGTGAAATTTGTCCTGATGCATCTCAGTAATCCAGGTAAAAAAATCAAAAAGAAAAAAAATTGTATAGGTCTTCTGGACGGGATCTTCTCTAATGAAACGTTTCGTCTCTCCTCCAAGAGACTTCTTCAGTCTGAGAGTTTCAGGCAAAATTCAGGCTTTRAAGCACTGCTTCCATGTGACTGATACTCACATCACATGGCTATCGTTGACACCTAATTAACACCTATTGTTAACAGGGGGTGGAGTGATACTGGCAATAGCAGCACTGTAGGAGGGGGACAGCTGAAAACGGAGGCATCCACCTCTGTTTAATGATGGACGGTCTTTCTTCACAAAATTGGCTTCTTTTACTCCTCTCTCAAACCAACGTTCCTCTCTATCAAGAATGAGAACATCCTCATCTCTGAAAGAGTGACCGCTGGCCTGTAAATGAGTGAAAACTGCAGAGTTCTGGCCATTAGATGTAGCTCGTCTGTGTTGGGACATTCTTTTGAACAGTGGCTGCTTTGTTTCCCCGATGTATAACTGGTCGCAGTCCTCCTGGCACTTAACAGCATATACAACATTGCTCTGTTTGTGCCGGGGCACCGGATCRTTGGGGTGAACCAGCCTTTGCCGTAATGTGATTTGGGGTTTGAAAGCCACTGGGATATCATGTTTAGAAAATAAACGTCTCAGTTTTTCCGAAACACCCGCAACATACGGAATAACCACTGGTTTGGGTCTGGGTTTGGGGTCTTCATTTTCACCTGAAGGTTGCATGGAATCCTGTCTGTGTTTCCTGTCTGCTTTCAGGAAAGCCTAGTCAGGATAACCACACTGCTCCAGGGCCTGTCGTGTGTGTGATTTCTCTTTCTGCCTGGCTCCTGGGTTTGTAGGGACACTGTCTGCTCTGTGGTACAGAGTCCTGATCACTCCTAACTTGTGTTCCAGTGGGTGGTGGGAGTCAAAACGCAAATATTGGTCTGTGTGGGTGGGCTTACGATACATGCCAGTTTCTAACCGTCCTCCATCCGAAACCGAGACATCGCAATCCAGGAACGCCAAACTGCCATTTATTACATCCTCTCGTGTGAACTTAATATATTCATCCACAGAGTTGATGTGATCAGTGAAATGTTGGACTTACTGGGCTTTAATTTTAACCCAGGTGTCGTCAACATATCTGAACCAATGGCTCGGTGGCACCCCTGAAAAGGACATCAAGGCTCTCTTTTCCACTTCCTCCATGTACAGGTTTGCAACAATAGGAGAAACTGGGGATCCCATAGCACACCCATGTTTCTGCCTATAATATTGCCCCCCGTACGTGAAGTAGGTTGACTCCAGGCACAGTTTGAGGAGTTGGCACACTTGTTCTGTGGAAAGTGTGGTTCTGCTGCTGAGAGTGGTGTCTGATTTCAATCTTGCACAGACCACATCCACTGCCTTATCAACAGGAACGCATGTAAAGAGCGATGTAACATCAAAAGAGACCATAGTTTCAATGTGAAATTTAATTAAATAAATTATGTTCATCACCAGCAGGTGGCAGCCTTTCACCATGTAAACTTCAAGTGGATAAGACCCACCCTAAAACCTGCAGTGACATCAGTGTTTAAACAATGTATTCCAAACAAATCTGACTCCAGTGCGTGAGAAATATTTCAATTAGGACATGTTCCGAGTGTCTGACTGGACTTTATAACGAGCCAAGGGTTGGGYCCCCTGCAGAGATTCATCGTTTTTAGACTTGCTGGCACGTGTATTGTTATATATGGTGGTTGTTATACAGTATATTGTGTATTTGGGAGCAACGCAGGCAGAAGCCTTACACTATGAATGACATGTAACCTTTTTCTTCTCCCGCTTTGTCACTTTGCTGCAGTGAAGCAGAGCGGAGAGGGAGAAAACGTGTCAGGAGGAGAAGCCAGACAAGGTGGGAATGGGAAAAAAGTGGCCCTTCCAAAAAAAAGGAGAAAGTAAAACCTAAAAATAGAGTCAGAAACAAACAGTGAGGCTGTGATAAAGATATAAGGAATATAAATCAATGATAAGGGAGGAGGACGAGAGACATTAATTGACTGTCTCTTTTTTTTTTCTTTGCATAAGCCCCTGTCATCAAGCCGATTGGTTTCACAAAGACAAATAGGAGAAAGGTGTCATAAGCAGAAAGATTCAGCTGAGACAGGCTTTTCCTCCTCAGCTATGCATCAATGCTTTGAGTCAGACAGGGTAAAAAATGAAGCTTTAGCCTCATATTGGACCCGTGTACCACCACATGTATTATAACCACACTGATGTTTCAGGTGTTTTCTTATCCAAACACCAGTGTGTGTGTGTGCAGCCAGTCTGTATCCTGTGCCACTGATTCCAATTGCTGGTTTTGTTGCAACATTACCGGTTGCTACAGCCATTGAAGTCACACAGTGACGTATTCAGTTTCACTACCCACGTTAACACTTAAAG